GGCGGCTACGTGCTCGAGAGGGATAGACTCCCTGTTCCAAGCCCGAACACCACCAATACCAACACCGCCACGACGAAGGCTCCGTCGACCAGCACGCAATCGAAAGGAACCTCGTCGCACGTCGTGAAATTAAATTCGGGCGTGTCGATCATCAAGAAACCACCTCCTAACTTGCAACGATTAAACCTGCCGTCTACCAGCTCCACCGCGAACGGCAAGCGAAAAGACGGGCAAAAGCAGCCGGTCTCGGCTGGTGGCAAGGTGTTTCAACTGAGCGAGCCGGACTTCAAGCGGTTGCAGAACCTGAAGAAGCAGAAGCAGATGCTGGCGGAGAAGCACGCTATGAGCGGCTCTGCTGGCTCGACCTCGTCGCCTAGCATTAAATCTAACGCGCAATACCAGAAGACGCAGATCGCGGCGCAGACGCAGTTTCAGAAGCACCTGAAGATGCAACAGGAGATGCTGAATCGTCAAAGTCGGGGAGACTTCGAGCCGCTGATCTGCGACATCCGCTCGTTGGCGAACGAGAACAGCCCGACGCAAAACTTACTGCACAATCTGAACCTGCCAAAGTCGATACAGGTGACCACGAAGATGTCCAACCATATTCCGATATTGCCAAAAATTCCGAAATCGTTGACGGTGATTCCTCAGACCGTCACCAAACCTGCCGAGAAATGAAAGACGAACAGAGAACAACAGTGTAAGTAAAGTAGATATTAATTCTTTAGACGAGCTAACTATATACGAGATCGGTGAAAAAGAGAGCGAGGAATGTGTGGCTGAAGTGCAAGAATGAACGAGTTTCAGCTGTAACTGCGGAGGAGCTCGTGACGCTTTCTGCCAAGAAACGATACCTGCCTTATGTAGACAAGTTCGAACGGTTCAAACCGATTACACTACCGCGTCATTTCGCGAACGGACGAACAGGAAAGGATACGGTTGCTAACGATATACGCTACACTACCAAAGCACGAGCGTGAACACGAAGAAAGAAGATACCGTTGGGAGAAAATCTGTTTCCGAGGAAAAGTGCCTAAAGTGTGATGCAAATGAAGTCGTTAGTTTTTAATGACAAATATATATATACACGTTGAACGGACTTGAAACTAGAAAAACAATTATGTACATACACACGCACATACAGGCTGTTCTAGCTAAGGCAGTGCATGCTGAAAGAAATTGGAGTCCCAGAATTTTGTAATCCTTCATTTTGTGATGTAAAAATTGAGTGCGCAATTGTGATTGAAATATTGGTCATGCATGTACTCCACTCAATTTTGAATGGTTCAGAAATGAAGTTGAGAAAAAATTCTGAAGGTTCCTGATTTCTTTTAAGATCGAGGAGTTTTAACTGGGATGTCCTGTGTGTATATACGTGTGTGTGCGTGTGCGTGTACGTCGTGTGAGTGCGTGTGTACGTGTGTGTGTGTGTATATATATGTATGCATGTATACGTACACGGAAATTAGAACAAAACGGATGATTGTTCGTCGCACAGGTGAAGGATGTATAGTTGAGGAGCACCGCTCCGCTTTTATTTCTTTATTCGACTAGAAAAGACATTTCTCTTCGTTCCACGAGAAAAGCGAGTCTCGCTTGTGGATCATCTCATCGCTAGACATATCTAAACGCGTTCTTCGAGGGATAAAGGATTTGATCGCAAGATGGCGCCTCAAGCCGATCGGTAGTTCGTTCCTTTTTACGTTTCCCGAAGATTACGCGATTCTCCGTTGAAAGAACGGTGCTGAAGGGAGAAGTTAGATAAATGGCGGGAGAGTGGACCTAGGAATATTTCAGGAGGGATTTCCATTAAAAAAAAAATTACAAGTCTGTAAATTTAATGTAACTTGTTTGTAAGAAGATTCACTGAAGAGACATTAAGGTTGGAAATTTTATTGTTCAGACGATTCGACACAATTATAGAAAGAATGTAGAGAAATATCGTGATAAAATATTTCTGAACGAGAAGGTCGCAGAATTTACAAAAAGATTTTTAACCTCTAAGGGTTATGTATACTCCATGTGTTCGTAGGTCCAGTTCCTTCGCCTGAGACCGATATTTCGTGTATCCTGGGTGTCTGCCATGACTCTAAATCGAATAAAAGCGCGTCCACAGGATTCGTGAGGAATCTGTACGGTTAAAGGACCGCATCAAGTGGCGCCGCTATTTCGTTACGATTTCTTCTTACTAGTAATGTTTTTTATCTACCTAGGGAGGACGAGAGGACGCAGGGAATTCTGGTACCGTTAACGGTAAACAGAGATTGTACATTATAAATTCTATATTTTGGCCTGCTCGATAGAGAGGAGCATAACGACGACGTATAATTAATTCTGTGGGCGATTGTTCATCGAGAAAATTGTGTTATCGTGTGAATTGGTAAATACATTCTTACGAGTAGATTGTAGGCTTACATGCCTCGAGCTTATTTATTACGTTACTATAATCATTATACTACACTGTACATAACTGATAATTATTTCTAGTTGGTAACCAATTATTATTACTACTATTACTGCTACTATTATTTTATTATTATTATTATTTTATTATTTTATCATCATTGAATAATAATTCAATTTCTAGATACGCCACGACGAATTTAGTAGGATTCCACTATCAAGTCGAATAACGATTCGCTAGTTCAAGAGAGGTTTGAGATTTCGAGCTTCTTTGGAGTGAATGTACGAGCATGAAGAGATATACATGTATGCACGCATATATGTGTATATGTAGGAAGACCTTTTCTACTTCTTCGTGCGTTTGCATGGTCGCCACGTGAAAATGATCCTGCATGAAGGAAATTTAAGAGAGAATTCCTCGTTCTCTTTCGGATACCATTCGATTGATGCGTCGTCGCGAGAGTAATTGCCTTAGTAGAACATTATTGATTGTAAATAGTTTAAAAGTGAGAGAGAGGGCAAATGTAAATTAGATTTTCACGTTCTCGCGTGATGGAAAACTGTAAAAGAGAGACTGTTATCCGTTGAATCCTCTGGAAACGGAGGTTGCTCTTGAACCGATTACCTCAGTCTCGGGAATTATTTTCTGTAACGCTTATCGTTCATCTTTCTTTATACATGTTTGCATCGACTGTTCGCCTATGCACTAGTTACACGTTCACCAAAAAATAGCACTAAACAGTGAAAGAAATCGGTTCAGGAGCAAAAAGTTTTGTTAAAGATACTTAACGTGGGCTGTGGTGAATATTCTGTTAAAAAATTGCTATTTCACAAGTTCTTACACGGTTCTGTGTATCCCTAGGGAAATAGCAATGTAGGAAGAGTTAAATTGATCAATTTCCAAACGAAAGCATTTCGTTGTATATTCATTGTTTCTGAAAACTGGCCCTCACCGGTGTGTAAATTCTTCAACGGTTCGTCTCTCTCCATCGGATCTGAAACGAAAAACGTTAGAATTTTTGAAGCAAGATTTGTACATCTAGACAATCAAATTGTTTGCGAATGATTAAGAATCTGAAACGGTCGCATAACGCAGCTCCAACGAAAGAGCCTGCGTTGTAATCTAATCTGGAAAAACGTTCACGTGGCGGCATGTAAATGAGAACACACACATACACATACACACACATTTACATACACGGATGGTGCACGGTAACCGTGTGTATATTGTGAGTTGCGCGTACGCGTGATAGGAAAGAGTATCTGCGTGAGTATTGTATGTATATTAAAAAAATATATATAATACTAAACCTTATAAAAAAAAAATATATATATAGTGGATAAAATTATGATACAAAACAGTACTTGACGGTACGTTATACATATTAAAATGCTCTATTTTATTAAGGATATTTTTGATATATCTATATATATATAAATATAAATATATGTATATCAAACTAAAGAAAAATGCGAATCACCGATCGACGAGTATCGATGGTATATGTAATTATTGTTATCGACAGATGATAGCGTCTGAATTTACGAGATGGTATTTACTGAGCTGTGTGCAGCGCGTGTCGAATGTATTTCTAAATAGTAAATCGATGATTGACAACAAGGTTGTTGATGAATTTCTTCTGTTTCTGCTTTCTGCGCGCCTGTATGTGTTACATGTGTGTGTTGTGTGTGAACGAGTGCGAGAAGATTGTTTACGAATGGTGATTTCAATGTCTCGTACCGAGAATCACTGTTCCTTATTTATTTTCGTATATGTGTATGTATACACACATATATATATATTAGCTTGCTGCGACGACGATTGAAGTCTCAACCCTTTCGCTTCATTTCTTCTTTCTTTCCTCGACTCTAAAACAAGGAACACGAAAATATAGTTTTATAATCGTTATTGTAGAATAATTGTTAAAGCCGTTCTTTGTTACATGATTCGTGGACAGAGTATCAGAGAGACATCTCGAAGAATCGAGAAATGGTTCCTTCGTTTGAGCGCGTCAAATTTTCCTTCTTTCTCTTACCTGCTGAGCCTGCGAACTTTTAGGGTTAATTTCTTTTATTTCGCACTTCTTTTAATGTTTAATCGATGTATGTTTATTGTATAACCTGTATATCGATTCTGTGTTAAAACTTGCATAATTTTCTTCTCCATTAGATTCGAATATTATTTATCGTCGTTGCTACATCATCTTGCGTCGGTCAAAGTTAAATGCACCTTCTGGAAAAAACGTATTAGCATAAACAATGAAAAGCAGTTCGGTCATTGCTCAAACAATTATATAATTGTTAACGTGTGAATGTTTCTTTGAATTTATACACCATCATTGCGTCAGCAATTTGTTAAATTGTATAAAGTAATTTATTTATCGAAATAACGTGGAAATCGACTTTTAGGTACGCGGTGTTGTTTTAGGAACGACATTCGAGTTAGATAGTGACGTACTTTCTTAAACTATCGAATCAAGTTACGAATCGATCGAACGTCAAAACGATTCTTCGATCGATATATGTATGATAACGCAACAACTAGTTTGTCAACGCTAACTGCATACTTCTCAGCAAATAAATTGCCTCTGTGAGTGTGTGCGTGATGTGTGTGCGCGTGCGCGTATCAAGATACACGGAAGTGTGGAAATACTAAAACGGGGGGAGGGAAACAAAAGAAAAAGCGGAGAAAGCGCGCGCGAACAGTGTGAGTGAACTGAGTTTAAGTTTTAAGAATTCTATTTTTGTGATTAAAAGAAAAGTGTAATTATTGTAGGCAGAAATGAGGAAGATGGATGCAGGAAACGTGGAATGATTTTTGTTAAAGGAACGCGTTCGAAACTTTCCATTTTTTTCTCAAACTTTTCTGACAAACTTTTGACGATTTACACATTCCGACGCTTCCTTCGGATTACGACAAGAGACCTTCCACTACTGATCCAATGTGCTTGTATTTTCAGATCTTTAAATTAAGTTTTTTCGTTGTAGGAAAATTGGGAATTAAAAAGTAGTGGAACTTCTCTCAGTCAGAATTTTTCCTGGGAAGCTTAGTGCAGTTTCTGACAGGTCTATACTGCGCATGCGCGTAAACATCGAAGAAACAATCGAGAGCATACTTATCGACCAACGAACGACACTTTGTTCATAGATGTATCGATAGATTCTTTTCAGTTTTTCTTTTTAGCTATTATATCTTCGTTATCGATCGGAATGCTATATGATAATAAATTACCGACTGTACTAGAATTTTTGTCGAGTGCCATTTCAATATATCGGAACATTGAATCGATAGCGTTCCCACTTTCGAGAAAAAAAGATCATTCAACGCTCCTGCAGCTAAGAAATATTTTTTTTGGCGAACGACAAACAAGGACAGGAAAAGCGACAGAAGCTAAAGTGCGCCGGACGATCAATCGCTTTACTTAGAAAAGATATTTTATTAGACGATACGTGAATCGTGGTCATTAATATTAGTAATGAAAAGGGGGAAAAGCAATAAAAAAAAAAGTAAAAGAAGGAAAATCATGCACGGTTACGGCAGTCTTTCTCGATGCCACGAATATAAATTTCAATGTATTTTTTGTTAAGGAGCGAACACATCGTGTTATCGTATTTCACTTCGTGGAACTTCACGATCGAATACACGGAATTGGTCGATACTCGAAGTTTACGATGTACACAAATCGACTCGTTCCGTGTGACGTCTCTCGAGCAAGTCCACCAAAATTAACGGTTAACATCTCAGCTGAAAAGTGACGTAATGTACGTATAAGAAAAAGGGGAAATTGCGAATCGGTTGGAAAGTTCTCGCGATTGCAAATCCAACAATCCTCGTCGATAGTTCGAGAATATTTGTGAAATATATCGATCGATCGACGACTCGGAAAAAGTGTTCACATTTTTTTACACGATTTTGTATCTGCGTCAATTAATCGCAACGTTTTGAATCCTAGCTCCGTGATCGCGTTCCAAACGTATTCGCGATTTAAACGCACAAATATCACGAGCCGTAAACGCTAGAAAATTTTGCACTTTTTAATACTCCAACGAAACACGTCGATTTGCAATTCGTTGATAACACGATCATGATTCGTTCGCGTGAAAACGTGGCACGATACTGCGTCGTAGAGAAAAAAGGCATACAAATACTAATCGGGTAGTAATCGTTTATTATTATTTTTTTTTTTTAATTCTAACTTATCGTTTCTAATTGAAAATACGAATTACCCTCATTTTCGAGGGAGAAGCGAATGAACATCGATTTATATCGATCCGACTCGAGCGAACGTTTGGTGGATTCGTTATTATTATCGAACATAACTGTTTTAATAATAATAATAATAATAATAATTATTGACACGATAACGACTCCCATATCGAATCATCTCGTCGAGAATCGAGTGTTGTGGAGCCGATATCGATATAGTATGAAAGCAATTACATACGCGTGCGCGCGCATGCGTGCGTGCGCATAACAAACGGATGACAATGAGACGCCTACGGCGTACGCACTGACCAACGTCTTTTTGAAAATTCGACACACACCGTTGCAACCATTTATGTTATTTAAACGAATATTAACACACGTTAATACTGTCATGATAACCTTTGTTTATTTGGTTCTAATATAATAATTATTATTGTTAGTTCGCCATCCTTTGTATATATATTCGCAACACTTAATAAAAAAGTACCAAAAAAATCTACTCGAAAATTCTTTCTCGTTCAAACAAACTTCTCGATGGATGTGGGGGAAAGGTAGATAAATTGTTCAGATTTATACTTTTTTCGGTATATTTGCAATTTGTTCGTATAATTGGTAACTGATCTCGGATAACTAGTACTAAAAACCTAAACAACGTACGAAACTTTATACATAACTAGTTACTTGAAGGGTGCTAACGTAGCTATTTACAGTGCGAATTGAACCACGAATCGAGAATCGATCTTTAGTAATCGCGAGATAACCTGGAAAGATTTCCCTCTGGTTCAATCGATCGAAAGGAAGATTGGATTTCTCTTTACATCGTTTCCACGCTTTTCCCGGTAATCGATTTCACAAACGCGTTCGATAATATGTAAATTTCTGCTCGTTGCTCCAGATGGCGCCTCGACACCGTGCCGCCGTCGATTATCGATATTCGACCACTGATTTAAAGATCAAATTATAGATGCGTCAGAGGTTCACTGAACTGTTATCTCGGTGGAAACGACGCAAGATCTGTCGATTCTAAACATACAAAACTGGTCGATTTAAGTCGAATGCAAACAGAGCTGCATACTTGACATCGTTCGAACGGACCGTTGACAAATTAGGGCAGTGCTGTCTATAACCGTCAAGGATCCCCGTATACGTAAGTCATTGGAAATTGCTAGTACAATGTAGGGATATTCACCAGATAAATTACAGTTTGCAAATCTGGTGAAAATGAAGACGTAAAAGGAACTGAAAGGCACCGGATGTTGGTGAACAGTGCTGCATCTTGTTAACCTTACAATGTAAGGTAACATTAGAGGCTGTTATCGATAATCGATACATTACCGATATCTCATCGATGTCAACATGGAGTAGAATGCAACGTGTCGACTTGGTAATTTTGACTGTTCTAACCTAATTCCAGAGAACAATTTGTTACCCATTATATTCTACACCTTGTTTATTCAGAGATATCTTAACGATCTTATTGTTTATAGATAACATCTCTATCTTGAGCCTTAGAATGTACTTGGGATAGCAATGAGGAGGTAGAAGATTCAGGAGCTAACCTAGATTCTGTGGAACGTAAGAGGCGTCTAGGAAGTGATCCTAGGAAGAACGTAGTAAGGAGGAAATGGCGCGAGAACAGCGTAGGGAGCCATTTTGTAGACAGCACTGATTCGTACGGTGCCGTGAACGCTAGGCTTCATAGGTTATTCGAATTAAATATTCAATGTGTTGGCATAAAAATTAATTTTGGCTATTGCAGGTTTTCATCGAGGGTAGCCTAGCATGCATGTATGCAGCTCATCGAATTGAACTTATTCGCGTTAAGAAACAATACGTTATATTTACAGGATCGTGTATACAAATCGTACAAGTCGCGTGTCGTCGCGTAACAAAAATTCGAAACTGTCGAACAAATGGGCGAACGCGATTCGTCGTTAAAATAAAATATAAAGTTAAGAAGGAAAAATTCGTCGCGAGAAACAAACGATCCGCAAAAGAACGAGGAAGTCGAGCCATTAACGAGCCGATTACAACGTTGCTGTTCATCGATTATTTCCTGATAACAGGAGAACGAAAATTTCGAATCGTTTTCGAAAATCTAGTCGTTCGTGAACGAAGGAAATATCTTAAATAGAAATTGAAGGCCCATTGTGGCATTGTCGCGGTAGTAAATTCATCCGATTTTGTTCTTTCACCGAACCTCAACCGTACCTCACTTTTACATCGATTCACAGCTACTCTAAAGGCATTTATACACGCACGTCTCATTCGGTGTGTTCGTTCTTCTCGTTTCTCAGCGTTTACTTTCTCCGTGAATTTTTCGCTACAAATTGATCTATGGTATATCGTTAATGTGCTCGTACGAACGTACTCGAATATATACAAATTACGTAAGGTAATACGTGTTTCAGGGACATCTTGGTACGTATACCGGCACGGTAGGCTTCCATACGCGAACCGTCGATGCAGGAGAACGTCCTCGATTATCAAATGTACATGCCACAACGATTATCAAATCGTCGACGCTTCGAACAAGCTTTAAAAATTTTCAAATTTACACGATTGATGTTCGAAGAAACGTAGTGCACTCTCCTGCATCAAATATCCAAAGGACGCCTACGTGATTCGATACCAACGTTGGTAACAGTCTGTACGTACAACGAAAATATTTCGCAATGTCCTTGATTCATGTCCCATAACCGAAAACACGATTCGGGTTTATAGTCTCGTTCTCGAACAGTTTTTCTTTCCTGCACGTTTCGTCTGGTCGACCGCACCGATCATGCGAATCGCAAGGACAGAAAAGCACGATCGACTCCATGGTGGTTGCAGGCTAGGCCGCACAGCTGTATCCTCGAACTGCGCGTTGGTTCGAAGTTGCAGCTGATCGGAAAGGGGCCCTCCTTCGTTCGATCCTGTTCGGTAGGAAAGGCATCCTCCGCGTCCGTACCGACCGAGTTTGCCCCGATCAATACTTAAGTGATCGCGCGACTGTGGTGCACCGATCGAGCCGGGAATCATGGCTGCCGCAAGACGGCGGCAGTAGCAGTATTGTTCACCTTCCAGTCCAGGTTCATCCTCGCCGTGGTTCCTCGTGTGTGCCGCGAAGCCGTCTACCCGCATCGTCGTCGTTGTCGTGGTCGTGATTCTCCGTCGAGCCAGACACAACGAGAGGAGGTTGCTCGAGGCACGAGGCTCCCTTCTAGGTCTCCAAACCGGGCACTAAACTGTGGAAGGTTTGGATATCGTGGAATGCTCTGCCGCAACTTTGATTATTGTTTCTTTCGAATTTCGCCAGGTCGAAGTGCTCGTCCAACGACTGAAGCTCCACCAGGCGTTCCTCGAGACGCACGTCTCATTCGGTGTGTTCGTTCTTCTCGTTTCTCAGCGTTTACTTTCTCCGTGAATTTTTCGCTACAAATTGATCTATGGTATATCGTTAATGTGCTCGTACGAACGTACTCGAATATATACAAATTACGTAAGGTAATACGTGTTTCAGGGACATCTTGGTACGTATACCGGCACGGTAGGCTTCCATACGCGAACCGTCGATGCAGGAGAACGTCCTCGATTATCAAATGTACATGCCACAACGATTATCAAATCGTCGACGCTTCGAACAAGCTTTAAAAATTTTCAAATTTACACGATTGATGTTCGAAGAAACGTAGTGCACTCTCCTGCATCAAATATCCAAAGGACGCCTACGTGATTCGATACCAACGTTGGTAACAGTCTGTACGTACAACGAAAATATTTCGCAATGTCCTTGATTCATGTCCCATAACCGAAAACACGATTCGGGTTTATAGTCTCGTTCTCGAACAGTTTTTCTTTCCTGCACGTTTCGTCTGGTCGACCGCACCGATCATGCGAATCGCAAGGACAGAAAAGCACGATCGACTCCATGGTGGTTGCAGGCTAGGCCGCACAGCTGTATCCTCGAACTGCGCGTTGGTTCGAAGTTGCAGCTGATCGGAAAGGGGCCCTCCTTCGTTCGATCCTGTTCGGTAGGAAAGGCATCCTCCGCGTCCGTACCGACCGAGTTTGCCCCGATCAATACTTAAGTGATCGCGCGACTGTGGTGCACCGATCGAGCCGGGAATCATGGCTGCCGCAAGACGGCGGCAGTAGCAGTATTGTTCACCTTCCAGTCCAGGTTCATCCTCGCCGTGGTTCCTCGTGTGTGCCGCGAAGCCGTCTACCCGCATCGTCGTCGTTGTCGTGGTCGTGATTCTCCGTCGAGCCAGACACAACGAGAGGAGGTTGCTCGAGGCACGAGGCTCCCTTCTAGGTCTCCAAACCGGGCACTAAACTGTGGAAGGTTTGGATATCGTGGAATGCTCTGCCGCAACTTTGATTATTGTTTCTTTCGAATTTCGCCAGGTCGAAGTGCTCGTCCAACGACTGAAGCTCCACCAGGCGTTCCTCGAGGCTCTTCGCGGAGTCGGCGAACCTCGCGAAGTCGCAGATCCTGTCGGGGTCGACCACGTCCGAAGCCTCCATCATACCCACGTCGTTCGATCTCGACACGCTGTTCAACTGGCTATTCGTTTCGCCTGCACCACCGCTACCGGGGAATATCACGGAATTGCAACAACTGTTCGCCGAACTGGTACTGGTGTTCGTCGTGTTCGCGCTACTCGTGGACACGATGCTGGATCCTGACCGCGCCTCCACCGAGCCCAGTCGGTCCTCCGGGTACACCAAATGATGATGGTGGTGCGGCGACTCCGGCTGTTGAACCTCGTCGATGTGAGAGAGCAGTCGCGGGGTAGGTGGCAGAATGTAGAAGTCGCTGAACACGTCGTCCTGAAGGTCGAGGTCGTCGTGCCTCTGTCGCTTCGCGCCGCCGAGTCCTTCGTTCCTCGCGTCCTCGTTCAATCTGTACAAACACGATTATTTAGGATAGTCAACGCTGGAAAGTTTAGCGCCGACGCGCATGCGCAGTAGGAGCACGTGATCCTGAAAATATTGCGCAACGACCACGCGGCGATTCGCTATTACTTGCGTAATCCGTTGTTATGTAAAATCAATTTCTATCGACCGCTAGTAACGCTTCTTACATGTTAGAACCCAGCTTAATAATTTGGACATTTAACCTTGTTTAAACTTCGAATCTTTCGTAGCCCATCTCGGGGGCACTTGTTGCGTGCCAATCATAAATATCACCGTATTACGAATCGGGGCTATTTGCGAGACTGTTCGAGAAACGTCGATAACGAAGGGTATCTGACAGAGCAGCCGAGTCGGTTATCGCAAGCTGCGAATCGTTACGATCTTTAAGGGCTGTAAAGTAAAGAGCCTTACCGCTTTCTCGAGGACGTCTCGTCGTCCGTGACGCCGACGATAAGGTTGCTAGAAACGTTGTTCTCTTTGGTGGAATCGTTCAGATAGGTGACCACCGGAAGACCGTAATTCCTCGTCTTCTCGTCCCGGTTCTCTCGCTGCAGTCGCCTGACAGCGTTGTTTATGAGGACCGATCTGCACAGACTGGCCTCCGGATCCTCGATCCTTCTCAATTTGCCGGCAGAGATCTTCAGCAGACGGCGGCGTTCTTCTCTCGCGCGGTACTTGGCGGATATCATTGTGGGTCTGCTCCTACGGATTACGAGATCTTCCTCTAATCTCATTTTAGCGTCTGAAACACAAGAAAGGTACTTGTTAGTTATACAAGTTAGTAAAAGTATCGATAATTGTGTTAACCTGCTACGTCGGTAATGTTACGAAAAAACGCACGCGTAACGGTATTACCGAAGGACGGTAAAAGAGACGGTTATAGAGGACAGCGTAGCGGTACGAGTACGCATTTACGTGTTTATGTGGCTCATGCACTGCGCCAATAATGGGCCGATTCTTTTCCGCTACTGTCGACTGACCCGAATATTTCCGTTCGAGCTGAAGAACTTCTTTAACGATTTCAAAGGATAACCTACAAATTCAGGAATCAGATTGACATCTTGGTTGTACGAGGTTAGGTTTTATCATCGTCTCCGATGTCTGACTAATTAACGAGAAAGCGATATTAATATACCGATGCGTAATCCTATCGTTCGTAATCGGAGCATAATCGCTGACGTCATAAGGCTACGACTGGTCGAGTGCAGATTTCGATGACGCTAATGCGTTGCGTTTTCCCATTTATGAAAATTACGAAACGCTTGTGGCACTTTTCGTGAGCTGTGGTGCTTCACGGAATTAGAATAAATTATTCGAACAACGGCGATTCCTTCGAAATTTTTACAGCCTGATAAACCGAACAATTGTATGTAGGCAGAGAGTAGGGACAAGGAAACTACTTTTTACAGAGATACCAATTTAAATGACAAGACGGGGTACGACTGCGCATGCACACTGCGCACAATATGGCGGACAAAGAACGGTTTAAACCTGCACTTTATTTGTAACAAATATTTACAAATAGGTTTTTATTGACGTAAAATTGATTTAAATTTCCTAATTTATTTGTGACAAATATTTACAAATAGATTTCTAGTTATTGACATAAAATTGATTTAAATTTCCTAATTGTGTTTTAACAAATATTTTCAGATAGATTTCTAGTTATTGACATAAAATTGATTTAAATTTCCCGCCTGTTTGAACAACCATTTGACAGAATTTTCTAAACAACGGTGTCGATAGAGTTGCAGCCCTACTCTTTGACGTATAGTGTTCATAACTAGAACTATCGAAGTAAATTGACAATCAGAACGTTTAAAAGTTTCCTCAAAACAATTAAATTAAAAATAGTAACAGAAGTGACCATCGATCAAAGGTTGTATACTTGTTTAAAATTGAAAAATACCTCGTTAAAACGTGACGACTCGAATATAGGTTAGAACGAAGGGAAAGTTATCTTTTCCACAGAATTTTCCTCTCGTTGGACTTCTTCCGCGAAATGAGTCATTTGCATTTCTAAAACGTAAATCATTAACATTTAGCGGAAAGATGAATCTACTAAAATTATTTCCACGAATGACCGGCTGAGTCACGCGCGTACGAAAATAATTCCGAAAATAAATTGTTCCATTAGTCGACAGATGGCACCCCCGATATTTTTACGTGCCAACAAGATGGCCACCGCGCAACATTAATCACGTTCAAAGAACAGACGGACACTTGTTGCTAAAACGATTTGTCGATTTTGTATCACGGTGCGATCAAAAGCTCGTTTAAACGTTTTCTTTATCTTATCATGAACCCTGATACACGATATTTAAATGTTACACACGAAAATTATTTCATTCGCAGGAAAATAAAGAAGAACCATCGCGCACAGAAAGACGATTTTACGCTCCAAGTGCGCCTAAGCTAACTTTCTCCGGAGGGAAAAAAACCGCCATGGATACACGTTACCTAACCTGTAAAGTCTGCTTTGGAGTCGCTGACTCGTGCGCGTCCTCTCCCTTCTCCAACTTACATCCACACGCGAGACACACACGTACACACGTTTCCCATTCCCCCATTCTCTCCCACACGCGTCCACACCGTATACATGTACGTATACCTTCTCTCTTTACGCTCCCGTCTCTTCTTTATCCGGTACAGTTATCTGAAACAACGTAACTGTCGATACGATCGACTTGTACGATACAAACGGATCGAGTCGAAGAAAAAATATACCTCGTTTTATGGAAATAGTCTAATCTTTGATTAACTAACCTAGAAACTGTACAGCGAGATACATTTCGAATATTTGATCGGTTAGAATTTGCTTTAAAAATCACGTCGCAACTATAACGCAGTGTTTGGCAATTAAACGAAGCTTTTGACCTCGGTCGAAATTAGATCGATTTAAACGCGTCATCGCGGAACGCAGATATACTTAACCTTTTCAAACTCGAACGATAAAAATCGATAGATATTAAAATATCGTTTGGACAATTTATTCGATATTAAAATAATATATTTTATCCTTCAAGTCTAATATTTTAATTACTTTGGGTTGACAGGTCAAGAAATATATCGTTAAATATCGATTCTGCAGAATGTATTAATCGATGACGTCACTAGCTATTTTCGCTTCGAGAAAAAAAGTCCCTTACCGACGAGGAGTATACGATTAAGAATGAGTTAGGTTCCATATTGAATCGTTCAAAGTAGAAAGCGTTCGGTATATGGAGACGACCAGGTCAGAGCGCTGTCAATCCATTCCTTGCAAAGGCCTTGGATGGAATGCGAGAGCAAAAAGAAATCAGCGAGCATTTTACGCGCTTATAAATAAATACGGATACTAAACCGGGTTACGTTAGGGTTAGGTTATTTTATCGCGTAACTCGGGCTTATCTCTGATTCGATAAGTTCGTTTGTACTAATATCACGTATTCT